TGTTGAAAAGATCATTTATTTTTAAAAATTTCATTTGCTTCATTACTTTGTAAATTTATGTCAGTTATTTATATTTTTTCAACTTGTGCCTCTGTATGTGATTTCTCCTTGGAGGTTTTTGCTAATGTGCCAACCCAGGGAGTCTACCCTTTAAACTTTAACCAACATTTAGGTTTCCTTGCTATAATGAAAGTTAAAAATGTGTATTTGATCTGACTTGCAGAGAAGCAGGAGCCCTGCTGAGATTCTTTAAATGTTTTGCAATAATCCAGTTAGCTTGATATTGGAATTTTCCCTTGTGTTTATAATTTAGATTTTTTTCCCCTTCAACTTTTTTTCACTATGTCTGACTATGTCTGCTTAATTTCTTGTCTTTGTCTTCAAATACATGTTTAACTACTGTACAATCATTATTCATCTCTCCAGCTGATAATTAAACTTCTCCTGTTTTTCTAGGTCTCCTACTTTAGAGCCAGCAGGGACATGCATGGACTAAGTTTTGGTCTCTCATGTGTGAGGAACAGTCCTAAGTGAAAAGTGGGTCCTGTCCCGTCCCAGCACGCACACAGTGGGCACGGCCCCAAACATAGGAGGGGGTTAAAACGGTTGGTCCCTGGTCTCTACCTGCCGGGGTATGACTGACCCTTACGGTTAGAATCACCCTGAAGAGAAACACAGAACTTAACCCTTTTAGGCCAGGAGACTGAGGGACAGATGTGTGATCTGTGGTCTTTCTTTTCTACCTCTGTCTTCTACTTTTTGGGGATGTAGAAAATGTGTTGTGAAGACTGTATAACTGACTGTTTTAAGGGAGACCCCTGGGAGTGGCACACATGACTTCTGTTCCCAGGCTCGTGGGAGGGACTCACTCATCTGGTCATTTAGCACGTTTCCTCTTGAGGCTTTTTGAGAATCTAAATTCTTCAGCAAATCTTAGGCTTTGTGGCATACTTGATGAATTTTCGCTGGACTTCCTCTGCCAAAGTGACGTTTTTAGGAAAACAAAGGACAAGCACACCGACATGTATTTAGATAATGGAACAGGATCCTAAAAACGTGGGCATTCCTGGAAAAACTGGCACCTCTGGTACCCTGCCCATGCTCATATATTATGTTACAGCTATAACATAATATGTTATATTATGAAGGGGCCTTTGCAGACCCTCTGCTTTTCCCAGTAGAATTGTTACCCACATAGCTCCCCACTCCCTGGTAAGCTACTTTTGTGTAAAAACACATGGCATGAAAGCATGAATGAAACAATAGTTTCCAATTAGATTGTTTTCCAATTAAAATGTTTGCAAGTCAATATAGAATGTATCCTTTTCAATACAAAGAGAGAAGGAAAGATTTTGCAGCCACAATAGTCACTAAACACTGTCTGGAATAAGACAAAGTCAAACATTCAGCAATAGAGAGCAGAGAAGAGACCCAGACAATTAACTAAAGATAAAGTTTTATCACTGGACTGGCCACAATAAGATTTTCAAAGGTGGTAAAACATTAATCAAATCTTAATTGTTCCCTAGACTTCCTCAGCAAAGAAACCCTTAGCCTGCTATTGAAAAGCCTTCAGAATTAAAGTCCTCATCCCACTTAGGAACATCAACACAAAAAAATACTGAAAAAATATTTTTTGAAAGAATGCGTGGTGACCAAGTAAGTTCAATTTTAGAGATGCAAAAGTGGTTTGATATCAGGAACTCTATTAATATAATTCAGTATGTTAATAGATTAAAAGGAAGGAAACCATTTGAGTATCTCAGTAGATGTTGAAAAATGTTTGATTAAATTCAATAACATTGCTATTAAAAACTCTTAGTAGATAGAATAGATGGAAACTTAGTTACTGAGAACACAGTAAATGTGATACTTAGTGGTATGAAAGTATTTCCACAAAGGCAGGGAAAAGATGGTATTGTTTTCTACCTCTGCTACTGTTCACTGGAGTTGGCTAAAAGTCTTACTAAATCAATACAGTTGGTGCAAGGAAAGTAGTTTAAAGATTGAAAGAAAGGATTCAACTGTTACTATTTGTAAACAGTATCAATGTCTAGATAGAAAATGTAAGAGATGGTCCAATGAGAAATTATTAGAAATTGTTAGACTAATAAGAAAGATACAAAGTTTACACCTTAGAATTCCATTCATTATTGCCATACACACAAAATACTACTAAGGCATAAAAATTTTCACAAATACGCAAGTTATGAATAAAATTATATACATTTATTGAAGGACATAAGAGAAGGCCAAAAAGAAATGGAAGGATTCTAGCTGCTGAAGATTTCTTATTATATAGATGTTAATTTTCCCCCCAATTAAATTATAAATTCAATTCAATTCTAATCAAAATGAATAATTGAATTTTTTGGTAGAACTTGATAAACTTAAAGTTCAGATATATGGACTATTTGTAGAAGAGTAGATACTAAACTGTTAACATCAGTTGTCCCTTGAGGGAGAATTGAATGATACAGAGGATGGAAATTTAAACAGTGCTTATTACCCTCTTGTGTCTTTTGTGCTTACTTCAAGTCCCATGAGGGTTTATTCCCTAGACAACAAACTAAGTAAAATTAAAATATAAAAATGTAAGGAAAGTGTATTTTTAAAAAAGGGGTTTTTGAAAAAAAGTGTAAATGATAACAGGAAAATATAGAGAAAAAACAGCCATGATAATAGGCTTTGGTAGTGACATAAAAATAATTGAACACATCAATGGAATAGAAAGAGAGTTAAAAACAGACATATACAGCAATTGACTTTATGATAATGTACCATTTTAAATCAATGGCTAAAGAATGGACTATAAATAAATATCAGTGCCCTCTCTGTAAATGGGAGTAGTGTCTTCATTGGGTTCTTGTGAGGACTAATTGAAATGTCATGTAAAGTGTTAGGCAAAGCGCCTGACAATAAATGCTGCTACTACTAGTAGTAATAGTGTGATTAGAACTACATAGAATAGTTTATAAACCAAACCATGTGATAAGCATTATTCATATCTGTTCTTGTAGTCTGTTGGGAGACAGAAACGGGCCCAGAATGCTTAATGTGCATTCCTTGCATTTCTGCAGTGATTGTTGCTTTAAGGCACTTTTCTGTAGGTCCTCTCAACACCTGATCAACCGTGTTTTTTTTTTTTAATCCCTCTTTTTTAAAGGTGGAAAGGGGGTGGTTGTCATTTTGAGCAGAGTTTGAGCTGCTCCTGTCAGGAAGCCAGGGGGCAAGGCAAGGGCCAGGCAGACACAAGGAGGGGTGTGGGTGTTGATGGCAAAAACAGTCAAGGGGCAGGGTGGGCAGGCAGCCACGCTAGGCCAGCCCCTCTCAGCAAGCTCGTGATGATACATCAGCACGTGGGACAGCAAGCGGGGAGAAAGGAGCAGGAGTTTCCCATGACTGCCCTTTTTCTGTTGCTTAAGTTCCTCTGTTTTCTCTCTGTTACTCGGTCTTCTCTCTGGACACTGAGTTTCTTTGTCAGGGTCTCTAGGAATGAAGAGTAGGAATCAGGCATTTTCATGCCTGTCTGGACCTTTCTCCCAGTACAGGACTGACTCTATTTCACACCCCGGCTTCCTTCTCGATGCTAAGTGTCAGCTTTCCCATAACCTACCTCCCCCTTTGCTTAGCCTTCTCACCCATGGCCAGTCAACATCCAAGGACCCCAGCAGAGCCTGGCGTACCTCCTGTCCCTCATTGGAGTAAGGTATGAACTCAGAAGGGCTATTGGGCCACATGCATCCTAGAGCCCAGGTATTCTGTGGACTGGAGGACTTCCAAGTGCTTCAGTGCTCTGTGAATCTGAAAGCCCTTGGCTTTACTCAGTTTATAGAGGGGTGGGGTGGAGGGGGGGTCACAAAATGAGTTAAATATAATTGCTCTGGCATCTTTTCTTCTACTAAAGGACATTCTCAGCTCTCAGCAGGGAATTGAACTAAACCCAAAGTAGAAAACTGATATTTTAATTTGATTGAAAGTGAACTCAAATAACAATATTGTTCTCCCTTTGAAGTTTGAACTAGATCTGACCTGGACAAAATCCAGAAAATCTCTTACCCTATCCTTCTCTCCAAAACAACCCACAAGACTATAGATCTTTCTGAATTCTGAACCTGCTTCATGTTTTGTTATATTTTTCCAACTAATACATTAACTTTTTAAAATAGTTTATTACCATGATAGAAACATGATTTTTGAATACAGGTTCTGTCTTTTCTGTTGGAAGAATAATGAGTTGGTAAGCTTTAAGAGTTTTTTTCATTAGAAAATTTTTAAAAATTGATGTGAAATGTGATTTGAAATTCTGTATGGTGTTTCCAACTTTTGTGCTGCCTTTTTCAAGTGATGAGTCAAACAGGTTGCACAGGAAATTTTTTAAAACTTGTGAACATTACTATTTTGCCATATTTTTGTGGTTAGTTAGGTCTTTGAAGAATTTCAGCATAGAAGGTAAGGTGGTCCATATAGATTCCTTGAGTCAGTGGTGATATGGTGATATCTTTTCAAGACAAGGCGTGGTGTGGACAACATAGCTGGAGCTCAGTAGGTGTTTGCTGAGTGAATGAATCGAGATCCCCAGCCTTCTGTTCAAGGGTATATTTGCCTCTGCTGCACTGTAGAACTCTGGTCTTGATTTCAGATGTATTCTTAATTCAGCCTTTCAGTCTTCTAGGCTTATCTGTGGGTCTGTCTCTGAGCACTGCGACCACCTCCCTTATTCTCTGTGAGTGTCTGTGCCATTTGTTCTCTTTCTGACTTGCTAATTTATTGCAGGAGTTCATGTGTTTGTGATTTTACTGAATATTTTATCTCTAATATTATCTTTTTTAACTCTTTATTAGAAGTTTCAGTTTTATTTCTTTCTTAAATAGAGCTGTGGATTTTCTAAAATATGTGCAAGAATGAAAAGAAACTATGTATGACTGAAGAAATTTCTTTTCTTCCTTGTATAGCTAAACATAGGCTAGCTTTTATGCTGTGGTTCACAATTTCTCTTTTCCATTTATTTCTTCCATATTTATCTTTTATCTATGGTTAGCAATAGTGCCTTCCCTCAGGCATAGCTGGCTGGGATACCTTCCCCAAGTTGTACAAGGAAACTGAAGGAGAGCGAACATGAGAAGTAGCTCTCCCCTCCCTCACACACATACCTTAAGCCTTCAAGTTGCTCTGTTTGGCATTGCCTCCCATCTCTTTCCTCCTCTAGCATGTCCTCTATTCCTGTTTCTAATATTTCCTATCTCAATTCTAACGACCAGTGCTGCTACAAAATTCACTCCAGTGAGAGCCTACCTGTACCTCCTCAGGTGAGTAAATAAATACACATGTGGACACCCTTGCACAGCACCTGTGTGTCTGTTCCCCGTGGAGACACAGCCCCCATCCCTTGCATGCAGGTTTGGTGAGGTTGTCACTCAAGGTGTCCCACTCCCAGCCAAAGAGGAGCACATGATCCCAAGCAAGAAGGTGAGAACCTTGCCCTCTACTTTCTGTTCCTGCTGAGACCTTTTCCTGTGATTCTCTGAACTGACCACAGGCTTTCAATAGACTGCTTTTTATCTTCAGTCACCCAAAGCTCATTACAACCTAAGGGCCCCCGAGTGATAAGTGTTCACAGTTATTTGAGAACTGACTCTGTTTCTTCATTGCTGTGTTTATCCAAGCCTGTTTGCTGCCTCCACATCCTTTAGCTTTGGTCACAATCTGGACTCTTGAGTCCACTTTCACAGGCCTCTTTCCAGACAAGGGAACATGTATCCTTGTTTCTCTTGATCACCAGGTCCTTTGGAAGATGTGGCACTATCCTGTTTATATTAGAATCTGCTGTCACTTGGGATAACAGGGTAGATTTCACTGCCATGTAAACACTAGTTAGAACTCCAGCCCTATTTATTTACTTAAACAGAAACCAGCTAAACCACAATGAAATCAGCCTACTAACATCCCTCCCTCCCCTCCTTCCTCCTGGGCTCTCTGACAAGTGACCTTTAGGAGAAGCTGGCACAAAATGGGGAGAGACAGGACTCTCGCTGGATGACACTTTTCTCTGTGAGGCAGCATTGTGGAGAGCCTTCGCCAGGAATCGGCCATCGTGCCCAGGACCAGGGCTTTGCCTGCCTCTGCTGCCTCTTGCCTCCTTCTGGCTTCCAGTCCATTTCTGCCTCTCTGTATCATTAGTGGACTGAGGTTCCCTTTGCAGGCATTGCCTCTGGGGAAGTCTACAGGACTCCTCAAAAGCCTCAGAGCAGAGTCAGCACAGCCCTTCAGCTTGACTCTTAGCCGAGCTTCACTGATTGGCTTGGGGGCCTTATGCAACAAGGGTGGTGGTTCTTGTTTTCAGTAGTCAGCGTCCACGCTAGCAGTCCTGAAGCCTTCAGAGCTAACCACTCAGAACAGCGAAGTGTGAGCTTCCGGAGGGCAGGGGCTAAGGCAGCTTCCAACCTCTACTCTGGCTGATGGAATGAACAGTTGACTGCGGTATACCAGAGCACACACAACTGCTTAATTTTAACCCCTGACCAGCACCAGGACACAAGAGTCATATAAGCAATGTGGAGAGGAGGACAGTTGCAGGGAATTCCAGAAGAGGAAGAATTTCACAATGAGTGGCTAAGAGCATGAACACTGGACTCACACAGATCTGGGTGTGCAGTCTAGTTCTGCTACTTAGCTGTTAATTTAGGCAAATTATTTATGTTCTCTGAGCCTTGCCTCCAAAGTGGAGATAACATTCCTACTTATCTTTTATTCTTCTCTGATTAAATGAGATAAAAACTAAAAAGCCTCCAGGATGAAGTCTGTCCCATAATAATACAAAAAATATTATTCTTCAATAATATTAAATATAATTTTAGTACAATAAATATTAGCTAGTAGTAGTAGTAGTAAAATCATCAGCGAGGAGGAGGAGTGATCTATGTGTGGTTGGCCAGCACTGGGACCTTCATGGAAGCAAAGGCTGTGGGAAAGCCTCCCCAGAGGATCAGGACTAGAGACCACAGTGGCGGTACCCGCCTCCAGCCCCCATGCTGCACTGCACAACCGAAGCCAGACTAGGACAGATCAAAAACAAGCAGAGTTTGCCTTTCCCCACCAACATCATGCTGTTCCACAAGCCCTGCAATTTAGAACTGATCCCAGGGAGAAAGAAGAGGAAAGGGTAAATCCTATAATTATATGAGTTTATGGGTGGGAAAGTGTCATACTTGCTATACCTGCAATGGTCTGTCCTGGCAGAACTGAAACAGAGATGCAGAACTATTTGGCATGTGGAGTGAAGAAACCCACCTCCCGCCTCCACCCTACATCCTGACCACCATGGTTTGCCATCACCCTGCTCTCCTGGAGGAGACAATGAAGGTTGGTCACTGCTGCACAGTCCACTGGCATTCAGATAAAAACGTCTGGACTTGCTCCTGTGGGTAGTGAACTCCATTGCTGGTATTTGAGCAGCAGCCTGGCATGGTGGTGCTGGGACTGATGACTGGCTTGTGAGCAGAGCACAGGGTAGCCTAGGGAAGCAGAAGCAGGATGGTGGAGATGGGCAATGAGAGGCAGGTGCAGTGGGGATGGAAAGGAAGACATGCGTGCTTCTGCAGACATTCCTGAGTAAAAATTGTAGGGGAGAAGTTAGAGAGGATTGAGATTTTGAGTCCAGATGTCTGAGAGAGTAAATGATGAGGCCAGAAATTGAGATGTCAGGAGGAGTGGAGTGAAGGTGAGCGGGACTGACGAGTATATACTGTCTGTTAGTCAAGCTGCATCAAGATGCTGATGGAATGTCCAAGTGCAAATACCAGGCACACGACTGAAAAAGTGATTGTAGGCCTAGAGTAGTGGTTCTCAAGCTTTAAGTCTCAGGATTCTTTTACACTCTTAAGAATTACTGAGATTCTAAAGAAGTTTTAATTAGGTAGGTTTTATCTATCAATGTTTATTATATTGGAAATTAGAATGGACATATATGAAATACTTAGTAATTTGTTTTAAAGTAGTAATAACAAACCCACTACACGTTAACATAAGTAACATTATATTTTCCTGAACAAAAATCTTAATGATTGTTTAACATTTTGTAAATCTCTTTAATATCTGGTTTAATAGAAGACAGCTGGATTCTCAAATCTGCATTTACATTCAGTTTGTTATGACAAGTGATTTTAGTTGAAGTATATGAAGAAAATCCAGATTAATATGGATATCTATAGTAGCACCCCTCCCCAGCCCACCCCCACCTGTGGTTTCCCTTTCCTTGGTTTCAGTTACCCAGTCTGCTGTGGTCCAGAAGCAGATGGTCCTCCACCTGACATTTGGTCAGAAGGTCAACATGTTAGGGTCCAGGACTCCGAGGTTTCTCAGATAACAAGCCACACGGACACGGAGATGAAAATTCAAGCAAAGTCTTTATTCAGCCAGCAAGCTGGGGTCGACAGCACCTCCCCTGACACGCAGGCTGAGTCCGAGCTGCTGACCCCCAAGCAACTTTAGGTATGGTTTATATGGGATTTCTACAGTCATTGCACCAGAGCCCGCACATTACCTCCACCAATGAATTTGAAACACATTCTATACTTTGGCCAATAAAATTGGAAAAGGGACACACCAGGTGCCTGACCTTTGCACAAGCATTCCTATGTGACTTATCACGAGTTTCGACCCCAGGGGTGTCGTTTACTTCTAGTTATCTAACTTAGGGCAGGCTCCAGGAATGTTAGCCTCACGTAGTTTCTACTAAAACTGGGTGGCTCTGCCCTGTTCTCTGCATTCCTCTACATTCCCCCCTTTTTTTGATTAGACTGAGGAATCTTCCACAGCGGCATCTAGGGCCTGATATCTCTGTCGAAGGACTAGAAGTTGGACGGCGTTAACTCTTTCTCGCACAAATCTAAGCAGCCTATTTACTATGCACGGACTAATCATAAGCAATAACAGCAGGATGACTAGTGGCCCTGTAACAGCCGAGAGAAGGGTAGTGCATTAAGGTTTGTATTTGAACTAAGAGTCAAACTAGCTTTTGCTACTGTCATATTCTTTACGCCTCTTCTCTAGATTTTTCTTTAGTTTGGCCAGGGGATCTCTGACTGCACTTGTTTTGTCTACATAGAAGCAACACTCTTTCTTTAAGGCCGCGCACCGTCCAACTTCTCTTAAGAACAGGAGGTCCAGGCCCCTTCTGTTTTGTAGGACCACTTCAGCTAAGGAGGTAAGAGATTGTTCCAAGTCTGATATTGTCTGTCGAAGTTGTTCTAGGTCCCTGTCGACAGCCCGCTTCAGAGCTGTAAGCTCCTGTTCTCGAGTTACAAGGGCTGCGAGCCCTGTGCCAGCTCTTGCCATCTCTAGGGCAAAAAGGGCCCCAATGGTCAAGGCAGTAATAACTTCTCGTTTTTCCTGGTGGGGGTTTGGCCATTCTTCCTAATAAGAAAGGAGGGTCTCATGAGAACGATATACTAGGCATGGTAGAATGGCCACAAGTACACAAAACTCACTGTTAGCATTAAACACAGAGGTGGATATGGCTGGGGTGAGGCCTGTCTTTAAACAGAGCCACTAACTCGAGGAGGGTATAATCTACTTGTCCTGCTTCTATGTATTGTACGTGTAGGACGAACATAACTGGCTCCGGACTATCGGGACTGAGCTTACACATGTTCTCGCGACTGAGACTTGAGCGATTGTAAGTCTCTTCGGCCCCCTGTCCCAATAAGTGGGATAGGAGTCGTTAATGGTGTAGGAGCTATTTATTCTGATTGCTTCATAGAAGGGGGGTGAACCTGGATAGCATAACTAACAGGGATCGGTGATGGAGGGAGTGGTGCAGTTCAGAGTCTCTGCGAATGCCTGCACTATTTCCTATAAGGGGTTACTTAACCCAGAGAGACTCGAACCCGGTTTTCTTGTGGGCCTTGGAATCAGCTTCACCGATGTAGCTTCTTTGAGAGTCTATACAAAGGCCCTTTTCAGCAGGATCTTCTTCATCTTTGGCTTAGGTGTAGTTTCAGGGGATTCACAGGATGCTGCCGCACTTTCTACTCTTCTTCGTGATCACCCGGGTTCTTGTGAGGCAGGATTTTCCGAACGTGGGTGTGATGGACCTAAGGAGCGATACTGTCAACTTTGAGAGCAGTGGGGGTGGTAAACAATACAACGTAAGGTCTCTTCCACCTGGGTCCAAGAGTTTTTACTTGGTGTCTTTTGACCCATACTGTATCCCCTGGGACTATGCTATGTTCCGGGCTCGGAATTTTCTTGCCCTCGTAATATGCTCTGATCAGGGGCCAGATTTCCTGCTGCACTTTGGCAAGAGCTTGCAACACATTCAGATAGTCAGGGGCTGGGTCCTCTGCACCGGGAAGCTGCACTCGCCGAATTATGGGTGGAGGAGCCCCGTACATTATCTCAAATGGAGTTAAACCATGTACATAGGGGGAGTTCTGAGCACGGAAGATAGCTAAGGGAAGGAGGGTCACC